ATCGATACCTGTGAAGTCCTTCAAGAAGACCATGACGATATACTGAAACAGAGTTTGGATAGTTCTCAGTCACTGCTGTGCAGAAACTGTTGGTATTTCTTAAATACAACTCTGAACAATTTCGGCAAGTTAAATGTCTATGATTAATCGTCTGATCAAAAGAAATTTTAACAGTTTGTCTAAATAAACTTATTTCAGCTAAAGTCTTTTAAATTTGTTCTTTACAGTGCGTTTCTACAAAATAACCAAAGAAAACGTTGTTATTAGCCAGAAAGATACAATTGCTCAGAAGCAAAAAAGCTTGTAAAAGTTAAGTATAACAAAGAAACTGTCTCGACAAAGATGAATGAAGAATGTAATTTTTTGTTTTCAAGCAAACTAAACTGTAGCAATTTTTTAGAATTGCTTGAACAAACTCTGACTTGAAATTTTGATGCTTTCTTACATGTATTTAACATTTAGTTAGAGTTTGTTTGGTATTATTAAAGTGTAGAAATTTAGCATTCTATAATTTACTAAAAAGTTTTGAAAAAAAAACTGGTTTTGCACTTCTCTTTATAAGATAGTGTTTATTTAAAAAGTTCTGAAAGAAATAAATTGTTGTATTTTCTTTTAGCCTTTGCAGACGTAATTTAAAATATTTTTTGATTTTTTCATTGCTAACATTTATTGTACATCAATACAAAATTTGTTTTTTTTCAATGTAAGTCGATAAACATTGCTTTTACTTGGTTAGGAAGATAACGTGAACGAATAAGAGAACTGGAAACTACCGGTTTTTTCTAAGTTACTATTCTAAAGGTATTAACTCAATTTCACTGCTTTCTCATGGTTTACTAGAGTAGTCCGAATAAGCGCTATTCTTCATAGCACCAAGTATTTCTGTTGTAAACATATTTTTTTTTAAATTGCTTATTACCAAAGTCTATTCATAACTGAATCTACTATGAGACAAAAAAGAAGAGTATTTTGTAAGATTGTCAGCGCAATTATTTAAAATACCTCGATAAAATTGAGCAAGACCATTACAGTTTTTTTTTTGAGAATGGTTCAGAGTAGTTGCTTTTGCAAATTTTAATGCAAGCTGTTACGCAACAGTTTGTTATTGTTATCAGAGAAGCTAAATTTTTAATGGTTTCAAACATTTTTGTAGCTATATTGATTAATAGACAAAATTTTGATTCTTTAAACAAATTAGACTTTTCCGAGACGCAAAGAGTTCTTATACTTTTTGGGTTTTTTTCAAAAATACAATGTGCTATTTATCAAAATTTTCAAGAAATACGGAGTATAATATGGCGTTTAAAATGTAACATTTTTAGCTACTGAAAAGTTTGCAGTTGAGACACACAGTAAGTATGATGTCATACCAATTAAAACAAACAAATTAAAAATTGCAAAAAATATTTTTGCAACTAAATACTTATTTTTGCTTTTTGTATTATTCGTTTGTCTTCATCCTTGCAAAAAAAAGTGCATATGGAAAATCAGTGAGTTTCTGCGTCAATTAAAAGACTTAATAAATCTGTGTTGTTCTATTACTTTAAGTGTCTTTTGAGTATACATTTCCGAAAATTATTTTCTTACATTCACTAATATAATGTGAAAGCTGTATTTTTGTTATTTCCTTTCTTTTCCTCCTCATTCTGTCTACAGCAAAATGAGAAAATTTTTTTGGCCACAAATTACCAGCGGTGAAGATGTTGATATAATCCAGAAAATTAAGAAAAGAGGATGAAATTTGCAAAACGGTTTTTTTTGCTCTGCCTTTTTTTTAAAAATCTCTACCTGTATGAGAATTTGTTCAGGGGTAGAGGAACCTTTTTAACTAATTGTAGGTTACCTATTTTTGAAAAAAAGCATGAAACGAGCTAATTGCTAAGCCCGAAGCTGAAAAACACTGAGGCGAGAGAGTAGGAGGAACAGACAGTCAGAGAAATTTGAAAATGGCAGAAAAAAGGTACGAACTTTAAGGACACTGTGATGAATTTTGACCATACCTATGTCACAAAAATCGGCTCAGCATAGTGAAGGAGTTCAGCGTATAAAGCATCTTTGCGTTGAGACCACCGTTATTTCAGACAGTAGCGTCATATTTGTGCGCTCTAATTTGCAACTGAGGTACTAAACAACGCTCATCACAACCTTATTACAAAATTTTTGTATTTCTAATTGTATTGTGAAAAATTAGCAACTTTCGCATCAAATTCAAATCCGGTTTGAGTCTTCACGTTAAAAATGGTGAGATAAGTTACAGTAAATCGCATTAATCAGACAGCGACAGTATGAGGGTGCCATTTATTAGAGTCTGTGACTGATAAACTGAAGTGGTAAAACACGTAATTATTGTCTCAAAACATTCCTCATTTCCCTGTAAACTGTTTGAAGTAAACTAAATTTTAGTCGGATGAAAAAGTAGAGCCTGCAGCTTTTACGTTAAATTAGATCACTGTTAATACTGTTTTGGAAGTAATTAGCAGCATAAAGCTTTTTTCTCACCTGTTTACAGAATAACTTTCACTCTTTACCTACTTTATTTATGGTTGTACGTTCACTGTTTGAATAATTTTTTTTTTGCTCTTTACAATGGCAGTTTTGAGGACGTAGGAGTTCTTTCATGTCTCACTTGTTCAGCGGCACCAAATTCCTCCATTTCGAGAGTACTGGTGCAGAGACAGACTCCATTCACATGAAAAAAAAAAAAAAACATTGAATTATATGATGTTGGCGTATGCAGCATGGTTAAAATTTGTCAATTTTAAGTTTAAAATTCGATCTTTTTTTTGTCTCTGATAAATTTCTCTGATCAATTGAGGAGGGCAAGTTCTTTTTTTCCTTTCACTTTTCCTGTAAGCTCTACTCTTTCATCCGACTAAAATTTAGTTTACTACAGACAGTTTACAGGGTAATGAGGAACGTTGTGAGACAATGATTACGTGTTTTACCACTTCAATTTATCAGTCACAGACTCTTAAATCAAAATTAAGGAAAATTAGGCGATAAAAGCCACAAGAGAGGAAGTTAGTTGGTCGACCTTGCGGTACCGTGTATGGGTGGGTATACAATGGCTCCTTTCTTCCTGTTGATCTGTTGGAACGATCAGCCTTTATCAATATGCAAAAACTTCGTTGTTTACATGGTTTTCTGGCGACCTTTTCTGATCGGTTTCCATATGATCTGTTAACTGTAACTTTTCGCGTCAGCCGCGACACTCCCGGCCTCGTTTGTCTTAATAAGCTGAAATGACCAGTTTCTTTGGATGGCTGATTATACGGGGAAAAGTTTGCGGTCAATTAGCGAGAAAATCAATTTGAAAAAAAGAATAGCAGTATTTATATTAGTGTTTGTTCGCATATGGAGTGGGCATACTCGCGTTAAATTGGTAAAGTTTTCATGTAGCTTTTTAGCATTTTGGTTGGATAAACCTGAGAAACGGTTAGTTCTTCTCCTGTTCCGTTTCCTCTTCCAGGTAACGCAGGTATCGATGGTATTTTTTGGGTGGAGAGTCGTTATTTGGCATCATTGGCGTAGCATCCAGTCGCGGTGAGGTTTTCTCAAAAATTTTTTTCTGCCAAGCTGAGTGGTCTTTGCAAACGACATGCGCAGGTAAAACTTCTTTGGCCTTTCGATGGATAAAGTAAGTCGTAACACTATCCCATATTGCTCCCAATAAATAGCCACTAAGTCCGTAAAGGTCGTATAAGATCTTTCCATGAAAAAGCGTGTCGATCACCCATTTTACTGCTTTACACAAAAGAAGAATTCAAATCAGGCCTGCGACTATGTTGTCAAAGGCTATAAATTTTCCCCACGCTTTGGGGTTGAAGGTTTGATACGGTGTAGGGCTGGCACGCGTATGATTTCAGGCGTTAGCTCATACCAGTCCTACTGAAGTCGGAACATTGAACCCATGAACACATTGCATGTGACCTTATTTCTGTGCGTTTGAAGCAGTCGTGTACAAGATGCGACAAAAAAACTTTTATTCTTTCAAGATACTGGCAAATCTGGATAACATCGGCTAGTGTGCCCTACTGAGACTTCCACAGGATTACATTTGATTAATTGGACCACATCTCACATGACATTAGCAGTATATCCGGGTCTACCCATGAAAGCGTAAGCGAACTCGCTCGGAATTGTAGCAGCAAGTGCTAACTGTACCGCTAGTTTTCTTTTCGCTCAGACATCGTTCTAACGACAAGTGTTGATGTAGTTCTTTTAACTGGTTCCTGAACGTTTTACCGGAGTAAATAAATTTTGAGTTTATATACGTAAAAATGTCGAAAGCAGCTGCTGGGAAAATTCATCTTTTGGAGTACAAATACTATGACGTGGGAAGCGTTATTACTAATTCCGAGTGTTCGGTACAGAAGGTTGTAAATGCGCATGAGCGATGGGGGTTTGTTACTCTTAAAACAAAAAATTTCTCTTCTTGTTTTACGATGTAAGTTCCTCGCTCTTGGCTTCTAGAGGATTTTGGTTCCATGACTGTAGCAAAACCCTTCATATAGAACGACATGCTTTCTTTCGCTGTATGCTGTGTCAAGAATAAAAAAATATAAGCAGCTTAAGCATAAGTCAAACAATACTGTATTACTTAATGCACAATAGAATTAGTCAACCTATAGATGCATTGAAGTTGTTTAAACTTTGGACTAAAAATGGCATCCGGGTTTAAGCTACAGGAACTATAAGTGTCATTACCTACTGAAGTAATTGTGTTATCTTTGAAGGAAGTGCCTAATTCTTCATTGATAATTCTCAAATAATACCTATTACAAAATATAGCAAAATTACTAGAAGCTTTGTCTACCGAAGTAACTACATATTTGTTTTGGATGTGTATTTTAAAGACTTTCAACACCTCGTTATAGTTAAAGAATTGCTTACAGTTAGTACGAAGACGAAGTGCTAGTTTAACTCTACCAATAATGCTATAGCACCACTTTTCTACATCCTTGAGTTTAGTGTTATAGTTTCTTAAAAATTTAATCTTGTATTGCTCTAAAGTAAAGTGAATGTCATCAAGT